ATGAGCAAAGGGCGCAGCTGGATGATGAAATGGAATGTAACAAAGATCAATAACAAGATCGTGTGATATCCATGTTGATTCAGTCAATTGTGTTGTGATTTTATGTGATAGAATTCGATCAAGAGCATCCCAGGGATCTAAAAGTTATTATACAAAAAGATTTTTACGTTTTGTTTTCAAATTTGGATCAAGCTTTAAATCGAAACTTTGGTTTTGTTTTCTTTTGCAATCTCAAAATTTTTTTAATTAACAATTTAACAAAGAAACAATATAATTCTACTTACCAAGTGTTGTCGATGCAACAGTGACCACAGCTTCTCTTGGTACTTTTTCAATAAGAAAATTAAGTAATTTTCTTGTTTCATTTTCATTTATACTCAAAAATGTTTGATAACCAATATCACCTTTATAACCATTAGACTACTAAATACAATTCTGTTTATAAGTTTCGATTACAAAAGCATATATATATTTCACAACCTGACAAAGTTGTGCTAATTCACCACAAACTTTAAATCGTGTTGAAATATTTGGTGGTAAACGTGTCGGTAAATCTTTATTGCCCGTAATCAATTGAAGACATTGTGAAACACAACCAAAAAGAGTATTCACATCAAATTCACTAACATTTTGAAGTGAATCTTCTACTTGACTATGATAAATTAAAGAATTTTGTTTTTAAAAAAGAGTTTTAATATTAGTATAATAAACTTACCATCCAATATCACGTAAACTTTGTATTAAAATTCTATCAACTTCTTCCATTTTAACAAAGAAATACACTAATATTTATCTATGAAAGTGCAACAAAGATAAAAATAACGGTATGATGCTAGTAAAATTAAGTTGAGTGATAAAAAAAAAAGAATATTTATTGGACCATATGAAGACCAATAAAAAATTGTTACTAAAAAAATGGAGACGATTGAACTTTCATCTTTTAGAAATTCTTTTAAAAACGTCTACGCATATCTAGAAGACATCTCAATAATTGTATATGTCATAGAAATTTCTCGAAAACAGTGTTTAATCTTTCAGTAAACAAAACTAGAAGCCAGACAGTTGCGGTTGGCCAGCCGTTTGTATGATTAACTCAAAAAAAGAAACACTTTTTTTTAGATAAATATATAGGTACAATCCTCAACGTGTGTGTAGTTTTAAAATTCATAAAAATAATTTCTAATTTAAAGAAAAAAGTTGCAGAATTCAAGGTAGCTTTCTAGAGCTCTTTCACGAAAATACTATGATACTTAAATCCATGAGAAGATTATACGAGCCCTTGCATTTATCGTTGTCTATCATGACCCAACGTGTAACTAGAAGGACACTTGACAAAACTCAAAATTAATTTTTAAAGTTTTGATATTGATTTTTGTATAAATTATTAAACTCTAAAAAAAAATCTTTCAATATAAGTCAAGCGTGCTTTTTATTCAACAGATAGATGCATTCTCTTTTGGATGAGGAAAAAAAAGAATTTTGCATTTGACTCTCAAGGCTAGAGCAATCATGAGTTTTCCACAAAAAAACTAGCCGAAGATGTTTAGAGTTTTAAGTTATTTAGAGTCTCAAAAAAATGAAACAAACTAAAATAAAAAAAAACTCCTTTCCTTGTTCGAAACAGTAAACGACTCTCTTTCCAATGAATAGTTCGGCTACCATAGCTTGATATGTATTCAAAAAGAAAAAATTTGCACCCGTGTAAATTCTGTTTTACATGTTGGCACTTGAAAGTCTCCTGAATGGTAAGATTTGAAGCCATGAAAAGTTTTTTGATTAATGCATATCCATTGACCGAACATAGTAGTCAGAAAGCTACGTGAAAATCCTGTAGAATGCATCGAAAAATCGACTTTAACTGAAAGGAAGACGGTCTTAACAGTCGTCAAATATTGGTCGCTAAAATAATTGACATTAGCGAGGCATTTCCGAATGATTCTTGAGTCATTTGTGAAGTTATCATGAAATTCTCACTAGTATCAAATTAGAAGTAAATTTCGCATTATATTCATCATTTTTGTGAATAACCATATTGACAACAAAAAATATAGAATCCTCAATAAAACTAATCAGTCTCATTGTTAAATCTAAGAAAATATCGGGTTCTATAGTTTTAAAATCTCACGAATCATACAATATTCTTTATAAATAGAGCTTCCGTTTCTCGTTAGATATAACAAGACCCTTTTATTGCAACACATCATCACTTGAGTTTGTTGTTCATTCATATACTTCAATAGAAAAAATAAATAAATAGACTCCTTGATTTAAATAGAGAAAACTAATGAAAATGTTCTAGAAAACTTTGATTTTATTAATGTACATTGCACGAAAAACAGGCATATCAAAAAAAAACTGTGTTGTTTCAGAACGGTCCGATAACCAGAAGATTAATAAATAATAGTTTCAGAAATAATTCTGTCGTTAGTGACAGATTATTTATCATCGATAGTTGCCTTTCATAAGTAAGAACTAATTAATTTCTAAGCATTGGCAACACTTCATACGGTTTCTGGTGTCTGTTTAAGTCTCTTAAAGTGTCTGATTGAATAACATTATCAATATGATTTTTACTTATCATTTCAAATGCAAATATTTTCGAATACATTCTAATTCAGCTATTGTATATATTTTCCGAAATCAGTTTATTCAGCGCTTTGATACATTTTTCATTTTTGTCTTTAATCGAACACATTTCTGAAAAGATTTACGGTTCATACTCGTAAAGAAAGAAAGGTGAAGTCAGTATAGTGACATCTTTTTCTGAATCACATATGTATCTATTGTAAAAAGGTCCGATACTATTGGTCATTTTTTTTTCAAAACTATCTGAACTGAACAATATTTAATTCAACTAAATGAAATAGACAGTTTCACTACAAAGAAAATATGAATATTGCATGTACAATTTGTTTGGATCGATTTTTTCTTTCGTCAATTATATCAGCTTCTCCATGTGGTCATTTATTTCATGATAAATGTTTGGATCGATGGCTTGTCGACGAACGAAAAAAGACTTGTCCACAATGTCGTACATCAATTACACCAAAACAAATTTTAAAGTAAAAAAACTGTTCTCTATTTAAAATCCTATAAGACATTGTCTTATTTGTACAGAAAACTTTATTTAATGGAACCACTCTGTCAAACACAAGTACCATCTGGTGGTCAAGATTCTTTTGAACTTCTTCATCAACTTGAAACACAAGAAGCAAAACTACTCGAATGTGAACAACGTTGTCGAAAAACTTTAAGTGATTTACAAAAAGTAAACAAATATTATTATGTTCTATATCTATAATATGATTGTATTAATTAGAGTGAAGAACGACGACAAACATTCGAAAATGACGTCATTTCATTACGAAAACAATTAACTGAACAATCAAATAAACATCAACGAATAATAAATGAACGAGATGCTAAAATTAATATGTTAATTGAACAATACAAGTAGATGATTGTTTAGGTTTTATCAATATATTTTATTCGATATCTATCTTTCAGACATGTTGATCTATCAAATAAAAAAGATGAACAAATTAAATCTTTACAAGCAAAATTAGGTGAATATCGAAACGTTGAACTAATTTATAAAGGTATATCTTTTGTTATTTTTTTTTTATTAATGAAAAATGTTCGAGTGTGTTTTTCTATTTGTTAAGGTCTTGCAAGTAATTTCAAAGCTGAATTACAAAAAATGGTTGGATCTTGTCAAACAATTCAAGATAAAGATCGTGTGATAGAAGAATTAATACGTTATAATGTCATATTAAAAGAGGAACATAGTAAAATGTCAGATGATAAACAAGATTTAATAAGAAATTTAGATCGAATAACTGCACAATGTGAAAAAATGCAATTAGAAAAACGACAAGCACTTAAACGGTAATATTCATGAAAATCTGAAATGAAGTTGAAAATATGAGATAGTTTTTTAAAATTCTGATGTTACATGAATGCTTGTTCTTTCATTAATAGTAAATGTTTTTTTCTTCAGTTTTCTTCATAGAAATAAATAAGATTGAGAGGGGACTGATCTGGTGCCAGAAATCGAGTCACAGTGGATTCCATTCTTTTCATCATTCCTACAGGCGTCACTTCTAGCACTCCGAGAATATTTGGCTTGTCAGCCTCAATCACTGCTAGAACATATCAACAATCCTTATTAAAATAGCAGCCTTATATTTTTAGAAAAAAGAGTTCAGTTAATCACTAATTCCTAATATCTTAATTAGAAATATTGGATGCACTAGAACATAATCAATCTTCATTCCGGGATATCTCCTAGCGAAAATAGGCTTTATTAGTTTGCTTCGAAATTATTCCAAATATCTGTTGAAAGAAAACATACAAAAACATTTTTTCGTGATATAATAAAAATCTATATGTCACTAAAATACTGGATCAATCAATGCCTAACAATTGAAACATATCTCTAATAGAGATATCTAGAGTTACCTTACTTTACAGTTTAC